GGTAAGACCGAACATAAAACAGATCTGTGATTATTTTTCTTCTTCCCACTTTTCTTCTTCTTCTTTTTGTTTTGCAGCTGGGGTTTGAACTGAGTGCTTTGCAGAACTGTTGCTCTACTTACAGTCTACACCTCTAAGTGTGTGTGTGTGTGTGTGTGTGTGTGTGTGTGTGTGTGTGTGCGTGTGCGTGTGTGTGTGTTCCTTGATTTTCATCCACCTATTTGTGGTTTCCTGTCCCAGCTGGGATGACAAGTATGCACCACTATGCCCAGATAACAGTTGAGAGGGCAATCTCATGAAGTTTTCTGTGCAAGTTAGCCTCAAATCACATTCCTCCCATTTCTAGCCTCCCATATAGTAGCTAAGGTAGACAAGCATGAGCCACTGGTAACCCAGATCTTCTCCATTTCTTTCTCTTCCCCTGCCTTCAGTTCCTTATCACCAAGTTTTACCTGATGTCTTTGTATTCACACTTCTGTGTTCTTTCCCAGTGCCCACCTCACTTTATTAGCCTGACTTTAGACTCAGCAAGACAGAGTCTGAGATTTTCATTATAAAGCTTAACATCGTATGGACACTTGGTTTGTTTAACACTGGTTTCTTCTGTTAGGAGTTCTGTGTGTCTTTCTGACTACCAAGGTGGTTACCAAGGCCAGGCTGCTAGGTTTGTTTAACACTGGTTTCTTCTGGTAGGAGTTCTGTGTGTCTTTCTGACTACCAAGGTGATTACCAAGGCCAGGCTGCTAGGTTATTCCCCTTGTGTTGCGAAGTATTCATTTTTGAGAGGGCAGAGACATCTGTAGACTCATGCAAAAGAAGAAGAAACCTTCCTGCATCCATTGCTTTATCATTCTAGGCACTGGAAATGAAAATATTTAAGAAGAAATGTCTGTGACTCTCCCCCCAAGCCCACAGGCAGCTGGGATGTGCAGCATCCTGCGTCCATGTCTGCAGGACTTCTTAACAGAAAACGAGGGAGAGAAAAGGGCTTCTGTGTGGGCACAGAGACATTTTAATAAGTGCTTTGATTGTTTAACAGCAGTCTCAGGATTGGTTAAATTGCTGGAAATGTGATTCTCCTTCTCTGCTAAGAGAAGTCCTCGATTCTCATGGATTATCTCTCTGTTCTCCTTTCCAATAGGTTCTCTTTGCTCTTAAGGCTTCCAGGAGTAAATTGAAACCCAAAGAAAGTAAAGCAAGGCTGTTCATGTTCAAGTCTGCACGCCCACATAGAGCTCTGAGGACTTGAGGCTGGGAGACCATACTTGATGTGTGATGTAGCTGACAGAAGCCACTGGGAAGGGAGATCAAACCACCCTGCTTGATCTTGTGTGCTCTTCTGGAAGGGCGCTGCCCTTGAGAATAGAATCCGGGTCGTGTGGACCCTGTCCGAAGGGTCTGTTCTGTGCTCTCAGTCCTCTGCAGCTCCAGCTGCTGTTTGGTGTTGCTGATTGTTTTGGTGAGTGGTCATGATGGTGCTTAGGGAGGAGTTAGTTAGAGAATCAGGAATTCTTTTCCTTATTTTTAAAAATTTTTGTGCCAGTTCTGGAACTTGAACTCAGGACCTGGGGGTTGTCCTTGAGCATTTTCACTCAAGGCTGGTGCTGTACCGCTTGAATCACAGCTCCACTTCTGTATCTTTGGTAGTTGATTGGAGCTAAGTGTCTCACAGACTTTCTTGCTTAGACCTTGCTTCAAACCATGATCCTCAGATCTTAGCCTCCTGAGTAACCAGGATGACAGGTGTGAGCCATCAGTGCCTGGCTAAGAATTAGGAATTTTCAGTCTTGGCTGACATTTTGAGCCATTTGAGGATGGGAGGAGGGGGTATGTCTGTGTATTTCAGGATATTGAACCAGCCTCTCTGGCCATCCCTCACTAGATTCTAGGATACACCCCCCGCACATGCACACTCCACCCCCCCCCCCCCCCCGCACAGTGCAATACCCCAAGATATCCCCCAGACATTGCCAAGTAAGGAAGCAATGTTCCTCTAGCTGAGAGCCTTGAGGCTTCTGGGAGGCATGGGGCAATGGTACTTGGCTGTCTATGACCTTTATTAGATCGCTGCACCTGTCTGAAATATTGTCTCCCTTTGTGCCTGAGACAAATGGTAGCACTTTTAGTGCTTCCCATGGGCAGAATTTCCAGGCACAGCATGGCACCATGCACATATGGAGGGAGCAGTGTACTCTGTGTTTCTATGACAATAGTCCTGGTTTTGCATGCATGTACACTATGTGTACACTTGGCTCTAGGCACTGTGCTGTGAGGTGGGGGTGCAAAGGTGGAATGTAGCCCTTGCTTCTGCAAAGGTAGGCAGATTTGTTGCTGTGTTACCTGGGTCTTCACTCACAGCAGACATTACTAATGGTCTTATGTGCTTTCCTGGGGAGCCTCAGCATCCTTCTCAACACAGCGCCCTAGTCAGGCAGTACGAGTGGCTCATGAGACGAGAGGCATTTGGTGCCTCTGGTGGTGTTTTCTTTTTTTGTCAGTTGTGGACTTGAACTCTGGGCCTGGGCGCTGTCCCTGAGCTCTTCAGCTCAAGGTGAGCGCTCTACCACTTGAGCCTCAGCGCCACTTCTGGTTTTCTGGTTGTTAATTGGAGATAAGAGTCTCATGGACTTTCCTACCCGGGTTGGCTTTGAACCATGATCCTCAGGTCTCAGCCTCCTGAGTAGCATTACAGCCGTGAGCCACCAGCTCCCGGCTGTGCCTCTGGTTTGCTGGAAGTTTCATGTGAAAGCTGTGCCTTCCCCGGCATGGGAGTGGCAGTCACAGGTGAGGTCTTTGCTCTACCTCCTGTATCAGCTCCTTGAGGAGGCAGGAATTAGAACAAGAATATATTTGAATTGTTTTTCTCTCTTGTCTTTTTTTTGTTGTTGTTGTCACTCTCAGAAACTAAAACATGGGGGAAGTGGGCTTTGATGAGTTTTGCTTTTCGGTTAAGCTGGAGGAAATTCCACAGGCTGTGATGGTGATTGATATGTCATGCTGTCTGTTTCTTGAGTTTTCTCTGCCCTTTTGGGCTCAGAGAATCATTAGCTGTCTTAGAAAGGTTTCCCGCTTTCCAGGGGCACCACTGGGGTCTCGGGAAACAGCTTTCAGATGGCTGGCGACAGTGTCACCAGACAGAAGAGAGAATGAGTGGACTGGGGTTAAATGCTCCTGATGGGTCCTGACATGCCGGCTCCCTCCCTCCCTGCTCTGTTCCATAACAATAGCTGTGAAAAACGAGGGGCGTCTGCAACCCTGAAACAAGACCACACCATCCATCTGCTGGGAAGAGAGCCCCATCCCCCGCGCAGCTCGAGTTCACAGGCGGCATAGGAGTTCATTTCTGCTCTCATCTCGCCTCGGGGGCCTCCGGGGCCGAGGAGAGGCTGGTGCAGATGGCCAGACAGTGAGAGAAGCTGGGGCTGGAGCCAGGGTCTGCGCAAGACCTTGAACCACCGACGGACAGAGTGACAGCGCAGCCCACTGGCATTCACACTGAACGTGCAAGAAATGACCACATAGGGAGACGCCTATTGTGAAGGCTGCATGGGTTATTCCTTCTTTGTCACTCTCATTTGTCATTCCATCTATCCGCCCATTTTCATCTACCTATCTGTCCTTCTACCCACTCAGCTATCCATTATCCATCCATCCATCCACCAATTATCCATCCACTTACGCATCTATCCACCCATTCATTACCATTCTCCATCCATCCACCCACCCATTCATTATCTCTGCATCCACTTACCTGTTCGTCTGTCTTTCCATCCATCCACCCATTATCCATCCATTCATTCATCCACTATTCTGGTATGACATTAAATGGCACATACTAAAAGAAGTTAGCTAACAGTGTAACTACAGCCAATAGAAAATGGGATAGAGTAATACAGTTTTCTGGTTTTGGGGGGATTTTTTTTTTTTTTTTTTTTTTTTTTTTTTTTTTTTCAGGTAAGGGGTAGGTTTATTCAGTAGACCTGCTGGGACCAGGCAAGGTTGGCACTCCACGTGGCTGGGAAAGAGAGAGAGGAAAGAGCTAGAGCAGAGAGAGAGCAGACAGAGCTAGAAAAGAAGAGCAAGAGGAAGAGCTAGAAACGAACAGAGAGATGCTGGGACCAGGCAAGGTTGGCACTCCACGTGGCTGGGAAAGAGAGAGAGGAAAGAGCTAGAGCAGAGAGAGAGCAGACAGAGCTAGAAAAGAAGAGCAAGAGGAAGAGCTAGAAACGAACAGAGAGATAAAGCTTGGGGGGATTTTTTTAATGTTTCATTTTGTTTTGTTTTGCTTTGTTTTAAAGACGAGGCCTCTGTGCAGCCCAGGCTGGCTTTGAACTCTCAGTCCTCCTGTCTCGGCCTCTTCCTAGTGCTGGGATTATAGGTGTGTATCACCTACCATGCCTGGCTTAGAGTTCACTTTTGAAATAAGCACTTCAGTGGATTCACTATAAGATGTTAAAGAGTTAATTTCATGAGTTGCACAACTCTGGCAGAAATGAGACTGGGCTGGCCTTGTGGGCATTGGTAATGGCTACACACAACTTCACCAGGATGCAGGCTGTCAAGTCCCTCTAGCCAGGATGTGCTGCTGCTAGACAAGGCCTTGAGCAAGGGACTTGCCCTCTCTCAGGCTCAGTATCCCCATCCGTGCAGTGGGGGAGCTGGCACCTTCGTTCCTGTGGTGGTTTTGAGGATGTAGGCTGCACTGTGCGACTGCGGTTCCTGTGACTCATGGGCACATGCGTGGCACCTGCTACATCCTCCGTAAATGGAAGTGATGGCTGATTCTATTCATTCTACAGCTGGTTTCTCATAAGGCATCTTCTGGCTGTACTGCCCAGGGAGCCTTGCAGTTGTGGATGTAACAGTATTCTGCTGCTGGTGCCTTCAGCAGGTGAAGGTGTCCGGCCATCATTCCTTTTCGTCCCAGGGCTCGGCCAGAGCCTGGCAGCCCCCTACCACGGTGTAACAAGCCTTTCTCCTCCACTCTTCTCTCTCTGTAGACACACTGTCAGTGCCGCGCTGGTCCCCGCAGATTCCCCGCAGAGACCTGGGCAACTCCATCAAACACAGGTAGGCTGCCTGTGTGCACCTGTAAACCCGGGCATGGGTGGGCGAGGTAGGACAGAATATTTGGCCCCAGCTCCTTCATTACCATGGTAACTAGAGGTCTGAGACCAGCGCCTCTCACAAGCTTGCCTTTCGTCAAAGTCACCAGGCTTTGGAGTCACTGCCTATGTTCCAAATTCAGAGTGAAGGGGGCTGGGGGGTTTAGCCCACCCAGTGCGCGCAAGGCCCTGGGTTTGGTCCTCAGCCCTGGGGGGGGAAAAAAGCTACAAAAGACCAAATTCAGAGTGAAAAAGCTTTGAAACTTTGAGAAAGTTGTTTGCTTTCTCTTTTTCATCAAGTAAGTCTTCCTACCTCCAGGATAGTTATGAAAGTTAAGTGAGTTAATACACACACACACACACACACACACACACACACACACACACACACACACACAAAGTGCTTCTCACAGGCACATAGTAAATGAACAGTAAATGCTGTTGCTTTAGGTCCTAATTTTGGGTAATTCTTACCCAGGAAATACAAGGTTGTGGGCTGGACCCTGGTGCTTATTCTCTCCTGAGGTGGAGGCAGGCTGGGGCTGCTGCTGGCAGGGTGATAGGATAACTTCCCCAGGGTTATACCTGCCTTTGTTGGGAGTGGGTTTTAGCTACTACTAGTCTGCCCTTATAACAAGTTGCTTAGTACCCTTTCCCACATCTGACTTTCTGTGGTTTGCCCCATTGCCTTACGATCTCTTTGGGATGAATATGATCACCCTCATTTGATAGATAAGGAAACTGAGGCCTTGGGGGGAGGGGGAACCACTATGGGCTCAGCCAGACAGCTGAGGGTGTTCCATGCTGTGAGGCCTCTGTGAGCCAGCTGATGGTCCCATGCATGGATTCTTTCCTCTAGGTGTTTCTGTGTCAGTGTTGCAACACTGAGCAGGATGTAAGGCCTGTGTCTCCAGAACGCTGTCCACCTAGAGGAAACTCAGCCAACAGACTGTGACAGTCCCCAGGGATCCCAACTGGGGGAGGGACACACCAGGGGTGGAGACATAGCCACAGCTGGAGGTCACCCTCACTGGAGTGGCATCTTGTCAGCGGCTTTTGAAAGAAGTATGTTGACAGGATAGTTGTCAAACCTCAAATGAGAAAAATTGGAGGAAGCTGTGAGAAATATGTGATAGATGCCTGTGGTCAGGCTGTGAGCTGCAGAGAGGAGGAGCAAACACGAGGTCTTCACCGTGTAGGCTGCCCACAGCACCCAGGGTCGGCCACGCCCTTGGCTTAGCCACGCCCCTGGACTGGCCACACTCCTGATTGAGCTCTGCTTCAGGATTGGCCGCAACCCTGAATTGTCTACATCCCCGATTGAGCTTGGCCTCTGGATTGGCCACATTCTGTCTCAGCCACACCCCTGAATTAGCCACACCCCCTATTGAGCTTTGCTCCTGGACTGGCCATGCTCCTGAATTGTCTACATCCCTGAGTCTGCTGTGTTTCTAACTTGGCCACACCCCTGGCTTAGTTTCATCTCTGCCTCAGCCACACCCCAGGATTGGCCCTGATTTATCTTCATCCATGAATTGGCCCTACTCCTGCCATCTATATCCTAGCTTAAGGTCATTTCCTAGATAGAGGTCACCCCCAGGCTTTGGAACCTGCTAGTGCCTCAGTTTCTGTATTTATGCAGAGCTAAGAGGGAGCAACCAGGTCATCTGAGACTTGGGACTGGGTTCGTAGAGGTGGTCTGTTCATCTTTAGTCGCTCTGTGTTTCTCCTTGGGCTTCATGTCAGGGGCTAGAGATGGGTACTCAGCCCAGCCTTGGTGAAGAAACCAAATTAAAATCCCATTCTCTCTCAGCAGTCACTTCAGCCAGAGCCAGGCAACAAGGAGAGAGCTGACCCTGGGGACAGGCCAGGGTTGGAAAGGGAATTCCCCCCCTTATCCCACCCCCCCCCCCCACCATGTACACTTGTGCTCTATCCCCGCTCTTCTGGCTGCTGGGAGAATAGCTGCCCCGTGCCATTCCTGAGAGCTGCTGCCTTCCACAGAACAGACTCTTGTTATACTCCTTGGCCCTGCTCAGGGGGCCCAACAAGTCCAGAACTGGGGGCTCTGCTCAGCATACCACTATATTTGCTTAGCTGTGGAGTCTTCAGGCTCCAGCTTGTTCTGTTTGGAGAGGGATTGACCCAGATTGCCATGATGGTACAGCCAAGAGAGGCTGCCTTTCCCTCAAAATTCTCTGCCTCCAAGTTATGTAATCACTTCCCATTTCCCATTTGACACTGGAAGCGGTGAAGATTAGATACGACTCCTGCCGACGGTGGCACAAATTGAAAATTAAAATTAACTGTGACCTGACAACCTTCAATCCTTTTCCTGGGAGCCTTGCTTGGCTTGCTGCTGCCTCCTCCCAATGGGATCTGGGGATAGAAGGCACCCAGCAGCCTTGTCTGGGAGTTAATCAAATGGGTTCCTACCCACACTGGTAATAGGGCTCCCTGGGAGATTGCTAAACTCTGTTTGCAGTTTGAGAGGTAGGGGAGCTGATGGTCAAAGGCTTTCCCTTTTGGGGGACTCCTTCATTCCAATAGTTGGGCTCCATTCCTCTATTCTGAAACCAAACTTGGCCCAGAGTAGAAGACCCCTCATCAGTTTTTGTCTAATGAATGAAATAGGCCATCTATTATAAATGTTCAAGTTTGTAAGATATTCATAACCCGATTAATCCGTCCAATACTAACTTGGTGCCAGGCCCCTGGGGAAAGCCCTAGGCACGCATGACTTCATTTAATCCTCCTGACAACCCATGAGGCCAACACTGTGGCCATCCAGGTGAAGGGACGGAGGGTCCAGCAGTTTAAGCAACTTGAGGAAGAGAGTCACCGATGTTGGAGGAAGCAGGATTGGATTCCAGTACTCAAGGGCGTCCTCCTAGAGATTGGTTGATTGCTATCCTCTGCTCCTTGAAACATTTCTGTCTCTCTTCTACAGGTTTTCCACCAAGTACTGGATGTCTCAGACGTGTACGGTCTGTGGAAAGGGGATGCTTTTTGGTCTCAAATGTAAAAATTGCAAGTAAGTGGCTGTACTTGGAAGGGACTTTCCGAAGCACCTGCCGTCAGCGAGGCACGTGCAGCACCTGATGAGAGCCTGGGAGGTTGCTTTCTTTTGAGAGAGTCCTTTGGTCCACTTTAGACATTCAACATTCGGGCGGGGGAAGAGGACAGTGCAGAGGGGGTTGGGTGATTCTGGGTCATAATCCCCACTGACAGAACATAGTAGGGAACACAGAACACTGGGCCGGCACACGTGGAAGCTCCATGCTCGGATTGTCTAGGATCAGGGGCTGGCAAGCCTGTCCTCCCACAAATCACACTGTCAGTATTTGAAGTTTTGCAGCCCATTAGTGGAGGAATCTGCATGGCAGCTTCTTAGCCGAGCCTCTTCAGCTCAGGAACATTCCTAGACAAAGTAGGCACAAAGCAATGAACTTATTCCAGCAAAATCTGATGTAGAAAAACCAGCCTAGTCCTGTGTGGTTTGCTGATTCCTGGCTCTTGGAGTTGGTAGGGGCCTTTGCGTCTCCCTGCTTTCTCTCCTCAGGGCACTTCTCTGAAGGAGTATTACCATTCGAGTCTCAGCCAGGAAAAGCCATAGCTGGAAAGTAGCAGTCAGGACTTGAACCCAAACTCCATAACTCCTGTTCTAGTCACTGTGTCCTTACGTACTGGCTAGACAGCTGGACCACCCAGCCCCGCTACCTCTTCCCACTCCTTCCCCATGTCCATTCTGTCATGGCTGACCAAAGGGAGGGAGGGAAGCAAAAGAAAACTCACTCCAGGTGTGAGCTCAGCTATCACACTAAGCTGGGTTCAAATCCCACCTCTGTGTCCCTGTGTGGCCTTGGATAAGTCCCCAGTAGTTTCATCTGTGGGAGAGGAATAATTAATAATCAGATCTGTCGTGGGGGGCAGTAAAGCACTCCTCAAACCAGCATGCCGAGGACAGCACAGCGCCCACATTGAGTTCCCAGGCTGGCTCTGGCTCCTTGCACCAGGTATATTAGCTATCCGCTCAGGTCCCATCGCTGCAAAGTGGCCAACAGCACTCACTCCGCCTTAGGGGAAGAGTCTAGGAATTCCCCTTGCACTCCTGCCTGGCCTTGCTCTGCCCAGTTAGCAGGCAGAGGTTGCTGTCTGTCTTTCGGGTCCTTTCGGGCCTCCCTCATCCCTGCTCCTCCCTGATAGACAGGGGTGGGATAGCCATCCTGGTCATCTCTCACCTGCCTGAGAAGGTCAGGCTGAACCCTTCGAGCTTCCTGATTGCGGAGAGCAGAGCATTGTTTCCTTCCAGCTCTGAGGGAGCCATGGGTGGAGACAGTCACTGCCCAGGCATTGTCTGGCAGCCCCACAGCCCACAGTGACCCCTGGAGGGGGGCCTGGCAACAGGGGCCAGGGCTGGCTGCAGGATCCATAGGCATTTGGAACTACCAGGGTACCAGGGCTGAGGTTTAGGTCCCAGCTCCATCACTGAACTCTTGGGTGTGAACTCCAGCTTTTTCAAGTCTGTTGTGTTGGCCTCAGTTTTCCCATCGGCACATGGCCACAGGGCTGTCAGACGAACTCAGTGAAATGCACTGGCCCAGTGTTGTAGCCAGGAACATCCCTCTTCACCTGGTGAAGAGTTCAAAGCTAGCTGTGGCGGGATTGCCCTGATCACCAATTTGCCCCTAGAAATGCTGGTCAGGAAGTGAAGACCCTTAGAGACACGTTGCTCTGATAGTGTAGTGTACGTACATTGTGGAGAGGTGGCAGGAAGTGGGAGGCCCTTTCTCAGAGATACCTCCTAAACCATTCTTCGTTTCAGTCAACAACTACTTATTAGTTGGATCGTGAATATGCTAGATTGAGTAAATGCTAGGGATGGGAAATGTCCCAACCTCCTCCAAGTCCTTCTGTCAGTTTTTGTTGTTGTTGTTGTTATTGTTTGTTTTCCAGATTTGTTTTGTCTTTTGTTTTCTTAGATCTTTGCTGTGATTGGCTTTGGATCACCATCCTCCTATCTGCTAGCTAGCTGGAACTATAGATGTGTATTACTAAGCCCAGCCCTGCACCTGTGTTTTGACTGTGGGATCAGGTGTGGACACCTGTGGTGTCCTGTTGGCACTCACCAAGTTTTGCATTCTGGGTTTCAGATTTTGGGATTAGAAATGCTCAGCTGTAATCTGTAAACACTGTGTACCAAGGTGTCTTCCAGGCACTGGGGAGGAGTGGGGAATTAAAGGGACAAAATCCATGTCCTGGTGGGTGGGCAGGAGGTGCACAGCCAGTAAACCAAGTAAAGTTCTTAAAGGAGGTCTTGAAGGGATAAGGCTGAGAAACTAAGAGACAGGAGGAAGTAGAGAAGGGAAAATAGGAATTAAAGAGGTCAGGAAAGGTCTCCTGCTAGAGTGAGAATTTAAGATGCAGGATTCTGTGGCCCAGGTCATTTTCTGTCCCCGAAAGCAGCCAGAGGTGCACATTTGAGTCTCCCAGGCAGGAAATGATTTATTCTTGTGATCCCTTTAGCCCAGAGCATTCTGTGCTTGCCAGAGACTCCCTGGGTGGCAGGAACTGGGCTCTACTGTCCATTGCATGGGAGAGGCCCAGGACCAGAAGCACTTGGGGGCTGGGGGCATCCTCAGGCCTCCCTACAGTTGAGTTAGAAATTGTATTTGGTTATTCTCCAGCTGCTGAGTGATCCCCACATTTCTTTTTCTTAAATTATGGTCCTCGACCTTTTGGTTTTCTGAGGTAGTGTGTCTTGCTATGTAGAACAAACTCACAGTCTTCCTTCCTCAGCCTCCCAAGTATTGGGATTACAGGTGTGCACCACCACACCTAGCAGTGGGTCTCACTTGAGCATGCACAGAACGTGCTGGTGGGTTGTAGCACAGATGCAATGTGGGCTGCACTCCTCTGGAGTCTCTGCTCCAGGATCTCTGCAGTCTGCACATCCTGCAAGTTCCAGGTGGTTAGGAGGCCTCGGTTCTAGGCCCCCACTTGGGAGAGCCACAGCCTGATGGAGAGGTAGCAGTGTAAAAGCCAAATCAAGCCTTCCTGTCTGGCTGGATGTTTTTGTGAGGATGATCAGTACTTCTCCAGTTTGGAGAAGTACAAGTTCCTCTGTTTTTCTGCTCTGAGCCTCCCTGTATAGATCTGGCTTTTGTTTGTCTTCATCTCTCCTGAAATTCATGCAATAAATAGTTGTGTAATGAGTCATAAAGATAGCCTGTGATTGGGAAGCCAGGCTGTAGGACAGATAGGCCCAGATTTGAGTCCAATTAGTATGTGATCCCTCAGATTGCTTACCTTCCTTTGGAACATGGGGGTAATAGCTTCCTAGCTAGCTTGTTTCAAAGGAAAACCAAGCAAGTTTACCACTGTGTTTCATGTTTATTTTTGTACCTGGCTCACTCGAAGTACTTAATCTCTGGAAGCTAACCTGATTTCTACTTGAAGAATTAATTAGTTTTGGGGTACCCCTCCACCCAGGAAACCAGAAACTTCTCCACATCTAGCCACCCCCTTCCCTCCTGCTTCAGCTTAGTGCCCACTTCCTGAGGAATTATCATCAAGCTGTCTTGTTGGTGTTCTGAATAGAGAGATTAATGAACTGATGAGAAATTAAAGCCCAGAAAGCAATCTGCAGTTATCGAAATCGAGGCGTCTTCGTCTGATAGGTTCATAAGCGCCGAATGCAGCGGTCCAGTGTCAGCACAATCCACGGATTGTCTGATAGCTGTGGATCCAGCTGGCTCAAGTTTGCTTTTGCAGGAAGATGCTGGTGGGTTTCCCAGCCCTCAGGCATGTGTTATCTGCTTCCTTCTGTGCTCCCAGGTCCTTCCAGAAGTTCCTGCAAACTCAGGTCTTGGTCTTTGAGAACCTTTGTACCTTAGTCTTCATTTCTTGCAGACAGATGCACAGAAGTGATTTGGGAGGCTTCAAGCTGTAGCTAAAGAATCGATGCCAAGATGTATTTATTTTATTTTTTCTGTACAAGGCAGAGTACAGAAACACAGGCAAGATCTTCCTAGCCACCACGGAGAAGTGGCACTGTAGTCTGGCTGTTTTCTTGCGCTGCACAGCCTCTGTTGTGGGTTGTGCCTTGGCTCTGAGAAGCGTGGCCAGCCCGGCCTAGTGTGCTTACAGTCATGGTCAGCTCCCAAGGTGAGCCCAGGCCCCACCCAGGACTGGATGGAAGTGGCAGCTGGATCTCTTGGCAGACTCCCTGGGTTGCACTGTGGAGCTCCAGGTCTGGAGCTCCGGGCCCTTATAATAGGCCTCCCTGCTGTTTTCTGCTTGTCCTCCATCTGTGAGGGAGGGACTTGGCTATCCAGAGAGCACTGGGCAACAGGGAGAATATATTGGCACAGAGGAAGCCTGGTGGGGTGCATGGATGGGGTAGGATGCACATCAAGGGTGCCTGTCCCTGAGGACCTTGTGAAGGAAAAGGATTTAGCAGGTGAAGCAGGGCAGGGAGGAAAGGCTTGCAGCAGGACTTGAGACTTTTTGGAGTTTATTTTGCAGTGGTTTCCATCAGGCACCGGGGATAGGGTGATTGATTCTGCTTTGAAACTATGCTCTGCCCTGACCACTGACTTTCCAGCTCCTCTCTGGGAAAGCAGTTTTGGCCTTCATCCTGAGGGTGGGCCTCAGTCATGGGGGGAGGGGGGGGAGGATGCTGAGGTCACGATGGCCACTTCCTGGGCAGGGGCAAGCGAAACAGTAGCCAGGGGTGCTGGCGTCCCGAGACTCCCCAGCTCTGGAGGTCCAGGTTGGTTGCAAGCACATTAGCATAGGTTCTGAGGTGCGGTCCCCCTCCTTGGGAGAATCCAGGGTCTGGCCCATGTTCGTGAGCACATCCATGCCTTGGTGTTGAGCTCATCTCCCTTGGCCTGCATGGTGTTTGGGGGCTGGCAGGTCCCTAATGCAGGGTTGGAAAAAAAATCCCTCGAGGCAGACTGGCTCCACGGTGTGTGCGATTTATGTGGCAGAGCTCCCTGCAGGACCAGCCGATTCTGGAATTACCTGAAACCAAATCCCACTTAGCTTTTTCTCCCCACTTGCACCCTTGCTGCCTCACAGCGGGACGGGTTTCTCCTTGAATACATCCCTTGCAAGAATCCCACGCTCAGCATAGGCTTCTAGGGAGCCCAGCTCATGGCAGTAAAAGGACCGCAGGGATACAGACTCGGGGCAGGAGGAGCTGAGCTCAGGTCCCCAGTCTGACCACTTCCTGGCCGTGTGATTTTGAGGAAATGACTAAACCTCTCTGATGTACAATGAGGCAGATGTACTCGCTCAGCATGCTGAAGATGAGTGCCCCAGTCACATTCATGGCTTGGAGATTTGGTCAAAACCTTTAAATAAATGGCTACCATTTAACACAGGAAGCAGAGTGGCTTATGGGAGTTGAAGCAAGAGTGGGGTTCTGGAAAGTTCTGGATATTTCTCACCTTGCTGTGGCTCTTGTTTTCCAGTATTCCTTGGGGATTTTTTTTCCCAAACCATACGGTTTCTTGGGAGATATGCTAAAGGTAGACCTCAGGAATTCTCAGCCTCGCCTCTGTTCAGTATTTGGAGCTAGATCATTCTGGTTGCAATTCTGTGCATTAAGCAGTCCTTAATAGCTAGTTGTGACAACAGAAAACGTCTCCAGATGTTGCCAGATGCCCCCCAGGGCTGCAGAATTGCCCCCATTGGAGTGGAGTGCGCATGACTGAGTGTCAGTAGGCCAGTGCCAGTCACTTGCCCCATGGACGCACCCAGCAAACACCTGCAGCTTCTAGGGTGAATTATACTTTTCCCACTGGAAAGGTATAGAGTGAATGATGGGGTTTCTCACCCTGTATTTATGGGTGGTGATTATAGGGCTGTATTCTCTCATAGGGTGGCCAGATACCCCACTTTGCCTGGGACTTTCCCAAAGTTAGCACTAAAATTCCCAAGTGCCCAGAAGCTTCCATGTCAGATCATGTCACGTAGCAGAGGCAAATACATGTACATGCTCCATCGGGTTACCACCCACTTCTGAGGCAGTGGTTGCTTCCCTGGGCACTCGGGATGTGCTGGCAGCCAGGATTAGCTAGGATGGGCTTTCTAGTTTCTTCTAGGAATGCTTCAACACTATCTCCACAGTTCCCTCCCCACCCTCCCCCAACCTTGCCCCTGCTGCCCTAGCTGACTGGACTTGCTTACATTTCCTTCTTTCCACACCACTGCTCCCCTCAGTAATTTGCACTTAAATAAGCCATGCCTCCTTGCTCAGTTTGGTTATATTGTGGGGCCTTTTCACTCAGATTGGCTGAGTTTTCAATTCCCTCCCTTGCCCTGTGTTCTCCTCACCTGCGTTCTTGTACCCATCATTCCATGTTTGATTTGAATTATTCCTGGTTTTGCAAAAATGGAGCCAGCCACAAGTGCTAGGAGATCAGAGTGTAAAGTCTGCCTGTATCGGTCTGAGCCACTGGATGCATTCCTTGCTTCCGACCTTTGCAAACTGGAGAAATCACAAATGCCAATGTTGCAGCTGCCGCCAAGTTCCTGGAAGCTTTGGGAATTCGTACAACAGGCAGGATATTGACAGGATATAATTATGAGCGCGCATTTCAGAGATCACCAGCTTGAATCTTGAACTTACTTTGCCATTAATAGAAACACTTCAGCTTTTTGCAATAATTATCATGGGTATTAACGGTCCCTTTTCTGCATTTTAAACCTATTCTAAGCAAAAATCACAGTCCAATTACAGTTGTATGTGAGAGACGAGGAAGCTGAAGTGAGTTGGTGTAGTGATAGTGCTGCTGGGGGTGGGGAGGGGGTGATGGTAGTAATAATGGTGATGATGGCGGTGGTGAAGGTGATGTCGATGATAGTGGTGGTGGTGACGGTGGTGATGGCATTGGTTAAAGTGACGATGATGGTGATGGTGGTAGTTATGATAATGGTGGTGATGATGGTAACATTGGTGATGGTGATCGTGGTGGTGGTGGTGGTGATGATCGTGGTGATGATGGAGATGACGGTGGTGATGATGGTGATTATGATGATGATGATGATGGTGGTGGTGGTGGTGGTGATGGTGGTGGTGGTGGTGGTGATGGTGATGGTGGTGGTGGTGGTGGTGGTGGTGGTGGTGGTGGTGGTGGCGGCGATGGTGGTGGTGGTGGTGGTGATGATGGTGGTGGTGGTGGTGGTGGTGGTGGTGGTGGTGGTGATGGTGGTGGTGGTGGTGGTGATGGTGGTGGTGATGGTGGTGGTGGCGGCGGTGGTGGTGGTGGTGGTGGCGGCGGTGGTGGTGGTGGTGGTGGCGGCGGCGGTGGTGGTGGTGGTGGTGGTGGTGGTGGTGGTGGCGGCGATGGTGGTGGTGGTGGTGGTGATGATGATGGTGATGGTGGTGGTGGTGGTGGTGGTGGTGGTGGTGGTGGTGGTGGTGGTGATGGTGGTGGTGGTGGTGGTGATGGTAGTGGTGGTGGTGGTGATGGTGATGGTGGTGGTGGTGGTGGTGGTGGCGGCGATGGTGGTGGTGGTGGTGGTGGTGATGATGATGGTGGTGGTGGTGGTGGTGGTGGTGGTGGTGGTAATTCTCAGGAATCTTCCCGAAGATCCACCGTGCCTTGGTTAAATCCCTGTGCCTGCCCCCTGCTGAGGAGGAGGAAGGGAATGGATGGGGTGCACTGCACACAATGAGGGTGCAGTTTACAAGAAACAAAGCATTTTCCAGAAAAAAAAGAAAGATCCCTAATCAGCAATATTTAATTGATTTTTTCCCCTCTGCCCACTCTTCCTCCCTTTCCTTGCTTTTCTCTGCTCTCCCACCATGTCTCCAGTATCTATTCAGCATATTTGAGGCACCAGGCTCCCTCCGGAAGATCCGGGGGATGGGCAGGGGGCACACCAGGAAGAAGGCCTGGATTGTTTTGTATTGGATATAAATTCTCATGCCCAGTTTTCTGAGGGCATGGTGTTACTTTGTCTCCCTCCACCAGCAGCCCCTCTGGGAGATAAGACGTTCCACACAAGCGACTTTTCTCCATAACTGAAGCTTATCCTATTAATGCTTGAAAGTTTGAAAAAAATTGGCTGTTTTCAATGAAAACGCTAAATAAATCCTTTCCAAGTGTCCAGGCTCTACAAGGGTAGAATGACATCCCCGTGTGTACTCAGAGAGTCCTTGTGTAGAAAGTACAGTTCTACTAGTGCAGGTGCGCTCTGTGCAGACATTTTCCTGATTGACGGTCCCTTGTTCATACTACTGAGAAGTCAGAGCTGTGTGCAGCTCAAGTCTGCTTGATCCCAAGACTGAGAGGTTTTTTTTTGTTGTTATAGTTTTGTTTTGTTTTGCTTTTTTGCCTTTATTTGGGGAGAAGAGGGGCAGTACTAGGATTTGAACTCAGGGCTCCTTGCTTGTTAGGTAGTTGCTCTACTGCTGAGGCCAGACCATGGCCTGTTTTGCTTTCATTATTTTTTTGAATAGGGTTTGGTATTTATGCTCAGGCTAGTCTGGCCTGTGATCCTCCTATTTATGCTTCTCATGGAGCTGGAAGAAAACTGACAATGGTATAAAGGTAGAGGGGAGGGAAGAAGGAGGAAGAAAGCAGAGACTAGAAGACAGGTAAGAGTCAAGCCAGCTAGGACAGAAAAGCCCAAGAGATGCCATAGCTAAAGCAACCAGCAAAATGCAGGCCTGGAGGCATGGCTCAAGTAAAACACCAGCTAAGCAAGCCATGCAAACCTGAGGCTCTGAGTTCAAACCCCAGTAGTGGCAGAAAAAAAAGGTATATTGATGAAAGCATATTGCTATTCTGAATGGAAAAAACATCAATATTCCTTTCCATTGTAAGGTAACCTGAAAACATAGCTATTAAATGGAATCCCCATTGGTTTAATTCCCTGAGGTAGGCTGAGAGTCCTGGGGCTCCTTTCTCTAAAGCTGGAGTGAAATTGTATCTGTGCAATGGAGACTAGTGAGTCTTCAAGTCACGTGATGGTCAGAACCATGATGATGCTGATGATGAGTACAGACTGTCGGGGAAATGAGTTGGAGGCATGAAGTCTACGTGGGCACTAGTGGTGAAAAAATGGCCACCACTGTGGGACCACTCTCAGGATGGACCCAGGAGGGTATGTGGCAGCAGCTGCTCTCCAGAGTTAATTATCTGGGTTACCAAAGATGAGTCTTTGCTGTAACTTTCTCATTTCCCATCTGGGTACCCACAATACCAAGAACTTTCCAAACCACTTGGGGTAGCTCATTTATCCATCCACTTTCTCATCCATCCATCCACCCACCCACTTATCTACTGATACATTCATGCATCCTCAGCACCCATTCCGTCTATCCATTATCCATCCATTCATGCACCAACTTATCCACTACTTTTTCCATCCACCCACCCATTGTTCCATCCATCCATTGTCCATCCATCTTTTTCTTTTTCTTTTTTTTTTTTCAGATTAAAGTGCCACAACAAATGCACCAAAGAAGCCCCGCCCTGTCACCTCCTGATCATCCACCGAGGAGGTAAGTATTTAACCCTTGCTTCCCTCGGGTAGTGGTGGGCTGGGAGCCTCTTGCATGCCACCAGTAGTTGCCCCAGACAGCATGATTGCAGATGCCTCCTGATCCTTAACTACTCTCTCACTCCATTTCGTTCCCTCAGACACCTTCTATCCTGCCCCTCATTTTCCAGACTTTCCTGCTGGTCTCTGATACTGCAGTTCACCTCCCCTCATTGTTAGCCCTTGTTCTTTCATTCCTGTCTGTTCTTCCAATTTTCACTTCTGCTCTTTCTGCCAATCCGTTGCTTTCCCTTCCCATGAGAAGAGTGCTGGCTGAGTGCTCTCCATCCTGCTCTTGCCATGTTCAGTCAGTTGGCCTTGTGGAGGTGAGCATGGAGAAGTCTCTGGCTCAGGTTTGCTGGTTTAGGCCATCTGGGAGTGTCTGGGCCAACCTGATTGGGCTGGGTGGTTATTAGAAGCCATTCCCAGTGAAAAGGCAAGACCAATAGAGCTGGAAGGAAGGCTTTTCCTTACTCACAAATGACTTAACAGGATTTGACTCTGAAAACCTTTTCCATTTCCCGAATAATTCCCAGAATTCTTGCCCCAAACCCTCAGACCCCACTATCTACCTTGTAGTCCATCCCTGGGGGGACTCTCTAGGTCTCTACTCTTGATTCAGTAGCTACAAGCCACATCTGGCCATTTAGAATAATTAAAATGAAATAAGAGCACAAGTTTAATTAGTCACGTCAGCCATACTGCTAGGGCTTAGTAACCACAGGTGGCTGCCATATTGGATTTGATCCAGATCCAGAGCCATTTCATCACCACAGAAACTTCTCCTGGACATCATGACCCAGACCTTTTCTGTTCAAATGATGGCATGTAGACCAGTAACACTGGGACATAACATCTGAGAATGTGTTAAAAATTCCCCATTTCTGTCCCCAGACCTACTAAGAATTCACTACTCACCCCCGCCACCCCACCCATCTGCACGGTATTTCTATGCATTTTAAAGTTGGGGAGGTGCTTCTTGCAGACAGAGTTGACTGTAAATTCAGGTGTCCCACAGATGGCCAGATGGGGCAGGGAAGGTATCTGGAGAAGGCAGATGCTCCAGCAGCTGTATGGATCTGTCTTTCAAGTGTCTCTGAATCTTAAAGTCCCAACGGAGACTTCTATGTGCCATAGTCTTGCTTTTAAAGTTTAGCAACTTAGTACCAGAGTTCATCTTCCTTCTTACCACCTCCCCTGCTAAGACCCCCATTTAAAACTATCAGTCATTTCAGAAGATTTGCTAATACAAGAGCAGATCTTTCATCTTCATCTTCGCACTCCTGCATGGACTCAATTAGCAAGCTTGGAGGAATCCCCTGAAATTTAGACTGAACTCAAGGGAAGGAGGAAGCAAGTGGTGGCTGAAGGCCTTCCCAAAGCCAGGGGATTTTTATGCTCTTTGCATTGTTCGTCCACATAGAGAAGTGGAGAAAGGCCTTCACCTCTCTTCCCATGCCCCTTTCACCCCACACCCTTAATTAAGAACCATCTATTTCCAGAGTCACTATGTACAGTCAAGGAAGCTATTTTAAAGCCTAAATTCTCACAGCTCCCTCACCTTGGGCCAGCTTCTTTGAGGAGGAATTCTCCCATGAAATTCCTCTGGGTAGTTGATGCTGTGACTCTGTCTCCAGTGTGGAGGTGAGCCTCAGACTGCTGGGGGGCGGGTGACCCTCCGAGGCTGATATTTAAGGAAAGACTCCCTCCCTCCCTGCCACCCACCTTCCAGGTCATGCTCTCCGTGTTCTAAGACAACAGGTACCTGTACAAGCAAATGGAACTTTCCAGAAGTCTGCCTGCTTTTTTTTTTTTTTTTTTTCCCTTTTCCCCTCTGTTGGTGGGAAGTTGAAAATAGACCCTGTTTCCATGGTAATGGCAGCTCAGGCTAAGCAGAGAAATTAAATCCTTGGGTCAACCCAAAGCTTTAACATTTCAACCAGTTCTCTTTTTATTCCCACAATTAAGAAAAAAAAGAAAAAGAAAACAGATGAACCAAGAAGAGGACCTTTGTATTAACCTTAGCTTTCTCTGTGTTGTTCTTTGTCTTGCTCCCTGTGAGTAGTAGAAATAACAGAAGGAAAGGGGTCAATCATGAGATTTGGGTCAGGAAGCATTTGTCTGGCATCATCTATATGTCCATCTTGCTGGGTAGTTTTGGGTGTGACCCCCAGGGGCTGGTCTTAATAGGCCTTAGTGATTGTTTGGATGGCCATGTGTGGCTAGCTGCTTAGTTCTGATACCCCCCCCCCCCCGCCCATGGTTAACAAAAGGTGACCCCATACAAAGGTTAGAACTGTCTGCTAATCCTGAGAAATCAGGAACCTCATAATATTAAAGGAGGATCAGTTCTAGAATGGGTAACTAGGAAACAATAATGGTATAGGGAAAAAACTAACTGTGAGAGCCTCAGTTTTTGTTTTTAATTATCATTTACATTTATTTTGTGCAGGAATTGTAGTTTGAATACAGGGTATTATGCTTTCCCTTCTGCTCAAGTCCTCCACTCTTACTGGTTGAACCACAGCTCCACTTCTGGCTTGTTTTGCTGATTTGTGATCCTTAGATCTCAGCCTCAGATCTCAGCTTGCAGATGTAGGCCATTGTTCCCAGCTGATTATTATATTTTGGACAGTACAGAAAGCGTAGAGAACACTTGGGTCTCACCATAGTGATACAATGACTGTCTCTCTCAGTGTGTGCATGCACGCGTGCGTGTACGCGTCCACATGCGCATATACAGGTGAGACAGGGACCTTCCAGGTGGGGTCAGCTCCACTCTCCTGGTACAGTCAAAGCCAAAATAATACTTAAACTCTCCCATTACTGCTTTTGTCCCTACGGATCCAGCAAGGTTAGTCCGGACAGAGTCGGTCCCGTGTGACATCAACAACCCTGTACGGAAACCACCCCGGTACTCAGACCTGCACATCAGTCAGACGCTCCCCAAAACCAACAAAATCAACAAGGTGAGATGGGGGCTTCTGTGGGGTTCAGGCTTGTGGGGGGGGGTGGCACCACCAAGTAGTGGGCAAAAGGGATGGACGGAATTGACCTGGGTGCGGTACGCACCTGCCAACCCCCCTGGGCTCTCCTGGTCCTCCCTTTCCCCTGTGATTTGTGTGGAATCAAGCTTGCTGGAAGCGCCTGGCAGTTAGCAGAGATAGTCATGTGCCAGAAATCTGTGTCCTTGAAATAGGGGGTGCATGTGTGGAGGGTGGTGTGGTCAGGAGAACCCCAAAGGGAGTTTTCCTCCGTGCCTCAGCCCCTGCCTGCTCTATGCTCTGAGACGTCTCCCCATCTGCTGGGATCCGCTGTGCAGATGGTCCTCGGCTTTCCGAACATCTGTGTGCTAAGGGCTGGGGATCAACAACTCCACTTCTAGTGGAGACTGGATGGGAGGTTATCTTTGGGAGCTCTGAGCTCTGAGCACCAGCTAGTTGGGTTAGCTTCCTTCCTCAGGCAGCTGGGTAGCAGTGGGCCTCTCTGAGACTTTTTGTTTTCTTGTTCTGTTTATGTGGTACTGAGGAATCAAACCCAGGGCTTCATGAACACTAGGCAAGCACTCTACCACTAAGCTACATTCCCAGCCCTCTCTGTACCTCTTTATTTCTAGCAGGATCTCCCCCATGTTCCTCTTGGTCTGCTGGTGAGGCTACACTTGGGCCCACAAAGCTTAGCAGTGGGAGGCAAAGGATATACCCCTGTGTGGTCTTTGGAGCCCCATAAGGCCTTGAAGGTGAATAAGTGTGAGTCAGCCCTAAGAAGAAGGGAGACACAAGCGTGCAGGTCCCAGATGAGCATTCTGAAGATCATGCTCTCCTCTCATTCCTCCTTCCCCCATCCATTCTCGGGCCAGCAGCCAGGGTGACTCTTAAGAATGTCATTAGACTGTCATCTCTCTTTGCTTTTAAGACCATCCAGGGGCTTTCTGTTGCTTTCCAAAAACAAGCCTGAATCTTCTCTGGTAGCTTACAAGGCTGGGCATAGTTTAGTCCCTCCTTCCCTTCATCTCTGACCTTTCCTTCCATGCTTCCTCCCAAGCTGTATGCTCTTTTCTTCTTGTGCTCTCACCCCCAGATTCTGCTACGAGATCTCTGAGCCAGTTGCCATCTGGCTTCTCGTGGCATCGTCCTAGCAATGGAGAAGGCTTGTGTTCTGGCGTCAGGACAACCTGGCAGTCCGCCCTCGCTTCCACTACTTACTGGATGCAAAGCTTTAGCAAGTCACTTCATCTCCCAGAACCTTGGGTTCTCTGTACATGAAATGGTGCTCTTTTCATCTGCTGCAGCTTGATGGGTGGCCCCAATATTGGTGGGATATGACACCCATTCTTGTACTGTGCTCATAGCTCTGGGGATTGGGAGCTGGGACACAGCATGGGTTTGGTTTTACTGCATAGAGTCCCAGGACTCAGCTGGGAAATCTCCATTAGCTGGTGTCTTGAGGCATCCAACACAGAGCTTAGCCCATTCTTGCCCATAGGCCATGTCCATCCCATGGTCTAATTTTATGAATGAAGACTTACCAGGACTGGGTTTGGTGACACTTATCCCAACACCAGTGAAGCAGAGGCAGGATTTCAAGTCCAGCCCAAGCTCTACAGAGAGTTCCAGGCCAGCCTAGGATCATTGAAGACTGTCTCAAAAACAAAACCAAAGGAAAAAAAACATTATTGGAACTCCGTCACATCCCAGTTAGATGTAAAAAAATGAAAAGTTGAAGATCACAACAGCTATGTCCCTTGAACCTGAAATGTTTACCGTCAGGTGCTTTGACCTAGCTGGAGCTTCCATCATCTTTAGTGGGATGTCAAGGGCGGGGCCTCACACAGAAGTCTAGGTTTACTCACATGTACCCTGAGCCTGTGGCTTGGGCTTCTTCACAATATGGCAGACTGCTCATGGCTCTGGAATTAGCAACCAAGGTGAGACTTGGCCAGCCTCACTCCTGGTGTACTTTCTTAATTATGAGAAAAGTGAAACAAGATTAGAGGAGAGGAGACCTAGACCCCAGCTCTTAATGGCGAGCGTCCCTAGCATCTAAGGACATGGAGTCTGTGTTTCATAAACACTTGAGGTGAACAAGAGGAAAGTTAGGGAAACAAAATGAAAAGATCAGTATTTTAAAACACATGCGTACAGTAGATGTGTTGGAAATTCTGGCTGGTATTATAAGCTTCCAGGTAAAATGTCCCCTTCTCCATGGTCATTTTCAAAACATCCAGGTCTCAGGCAGGAGAGCGCTTGCCTTGCCTGTGCAAGGCTCAGGGTTCCATCAGCCTCCCCAACAAATGAAGACTTGAATTTAAAAAAACATAAGATACAGGTTTTTTATAAGAGGGGATCCCCACAGCTGGGAGGGCTGAGGGGGGCTCAGATAATGAGCCCCTGGGGTAACTGCCTTTCTGAAGACCTGTCTTTTCCTTGGCATCCTGAGGGGACCAGGAATCGAGAGCCACCTTGTGGCCTGCCCCTCTGGCTTTACAGGCGCTGCAGCCCCTTGGGGTTAGAGTCATCAGTGATTGGCATTGTTCTGCTTGTCTGCCAGAAGGAGAATCTGACAAGGAAAATAAATTAACCTCTGTTTAGAAAGCATAGACATGAATGTGGTCAGGTTCCCTCACTGGGCTGAGTTATTTTTTTTCCCTCCTTTCTCCTCTCATGGTGTCATGCAGATGGTCTTTGTCAGGCAGTGAAGTGGGGAATGGTGTAGATTTCGGGGCCAGTTTGCTCTGAAGTGTTCTTGACGTTGCTTTGGCTCTTTTCCTGCCTGGCTCCGTCTATCCGCCTTCGCAGAGCCCTTGTTTTCTCACCTGCCATGATAATTGGAATGTGGATTTTGGCGTCAGAAAGCGTGGACTTGCAGCTCAACTCCTTAACTTGCTATGTGACTGGGCAGGCCATTTCAGTCTGACTGCACTTGGTGTTCACTTCTGTAAAATGGGTTATACGATACGATAGATGTGGTTGGGGTTGTGGAGAGGATTAGATGGTGTGGTGTGTAAAAGGGATTTAGTCCAGCATGGGGTACTCAGGGCATGCATGCACAGCTTGATGATGAAAACAGGAGGAAGGGGAGGAAGAAAGGAAGAGGAAGAGGAAGAGAAAGGAAGAAGAAGAGGAGGAGGAGGAAGAGGGACAGAAAAAAAGAGGAGAAGCAGGGCACCAGTTGCTCATGCCTGTAACCCTAGCTACTCAGGAAGCTGAGATCTGAGAATTACAGTTCAAAGCTTGTCTGGGCAGGAAAGTTTATGAGATTTTTGTCTCCAGTTAACCAACAACTAGCTAGATATGGAACTCTGGTCAACTATTAGAGGGCTAGCTTTGAGCAAAAAAGCTCAAACAGACAGCCCCTGAGCCCTGAGTTCAAACCCTAGGACTGGCAGAATAAAAAAAGAGGAGGAGGATAGAAGGAGAAGGAAGGCAGGGAGGAAGAGGAGCCGGCAGAAGAGAAGGAGAGGATGGAGCAGGAAGATGATCAATAGGGGGAAGGATGGGAAGAACAAGAGGAGAAGGAAGGAGAGGCAGGAGGGAACGGTAGAGGAAGAGAAGGGAAAATAAGCGTAAGAAGGAAAAGGAGAAAAGTGAAGAAGAAAAGGAAGTAGGAAAGGAAGACAGAGGAAAAGATGGTGGAAATGAAAGAGGATAGAGGGAATGGGGGAGATGGTAAATGATCAAAAAGGAATAACAGCAATAGAGAAAGAGGGAGGATCAAGAAGACAAGGTGAAGGGGAGAAGAAGGCAGAGCGGATGGAAGATAAGCATTCGCAGCATCCTATCTGTGCTCCTCGGGGGACTGATCTGTAGCTCTGGTCCCTTTGATCAAGGCATCAGAACTATTATCTATCCTAGCAGCAAGGGCTGAAGATCTGCCTGCTGTGGTCCAGTGTCAGAAGGGGCTGATGCTGCCTGGCTGTTTTCAGTTGGCTGCAGGGAGCAGAGACCCACCTGGCCTAAGTCAGCCAAGTAGGGTGTCTACAGGAAAAGCAGATGGGGTGACACAGGGCCTGGAGCTCACCCTCTAAGAGCTGGGCCTCATGAAAGGACACACAGAGGATGGCCTTGAGTTGGGCAGTTGGCTTGACCCCAAACAAGACCACAGATGGTTGTTCTGGCCTTCTGTTGTGCGCTGACCCAGGGCTCACTTCATGGATCTGACCTGTTCAGCTGTTGATGACTTACACCCTCATTTTCTGCTCTCATGTTTACTCTGTGTTGTTAGAGTTCTCCACAGAGAACGCCATGGATTTTCTACTCCTCACAGCCTTCTGCTTATTGGTTTCTAGTGTACTGTGGACCCTTCGTTCTCTTCCAGTCTCATCTCTACTCAGCCTCTGCCCTAATCCTCCCAGCATCTCGTCTTAGTGGACAGCTCATTTAATACTATCAGTTCTAGTCCCGTGTTGGGCTGGGCTGTGGTGTCACCAGACATTAACCTCTGTTTATTTAGGGCAGACCATTCCACAGCGGCTGTTGGGTCAGGAGGCAAAGGGCAGTTAAGGGAACTGACCGTGAGAGGGCAGTTACCTCTGCCATGTCCAGCTCAGTGCTCAGTGGAGTGGAGGCCCAGCTGAGCGTACTCCTGTTTGATTCCCAGAGTCAGTTTCTTAGTCCATAGTCCAGCCTTCTGTTCCTGTCTCTGGGCTGGGAGCTGGGACCTGGACACCCATGGGACTCCAGCAAGCCATTGACATGTTTCTCCCCCTTAGTACTCCCTACGGGAGGAAGGGTGAGGCCTGGATGGTCTCTGAGGGGTGTTTCCATCTCTTGTCTGTGTTCAGAAAGAAGGATTGTGCCAGCTACCCTTTCCCTCGTGATCTAGAAGAGTTCAAGTTTCCCTCTGAAGGAATTCCAACTCCAGCTACTGGTCCCATTGGGACCTGGGCCTCACCTGCAGAAAGAATTTCCCCTCCTACTAGAACAGTTCAGCCAGGGAAAATGAGCAAGTCTGCCCAGAGTACTGTGCTGAAAATGGTGCGTTTTCTTAAAGAAATACAACAAAACTAATAAGCATGATGTTTCTATATCATCCAGAAATTGCATCTTTGAACATTATTCCAGAGCAATAAAAACCCATATTCATAGGAAACCTACATATACATGCTCATAGTAACTTTATCCACAGTAGTCAGCAGGAGGCGGCGCGTATGACCTCCAGTGGAAAAATGGTTAAACCACTGTGGCTTTCAGCAAGGTCAGGGGTCAGCAGAGGTGCTCACCAGAGCCTCTGAAGGAAGACCTGTTGCCTTCCTCAGCTTCTGAGGATTCCCGCAACCTTTGGCTTGTGCCAGAATCCCTCTGATCTCTACTTCTGTCTTCGCACGGCTGTGTGTGTGTGTGTGTGTGTGTGTGTGTGTCTGTCTGTCTGTCTGTCTGTCTGTGTCTGTGTGTGAGTGTGTCCTTTCCTATCTCATCGAATGATATTTGTCATTGTAGTTAGCACTGGCTTAGTCCAAGATGATTACCCTTACTTTTTAATTTTCTTTGTTGAGATTCAGTGATTACATAAACTTCACAATATTGTGGAGGTAGTGATATTTAGCTAAAGTCACAAACACATTTTAACCTTCACAAGGTGGATTGTCATTATCATGGTCTATAAAGCTTATGAATTGTATGAATTTTGACAATACAACTATTTCTTCCAAATAGGGTGATATGTACATTTCTTTCCTTTTGCTTAGTGTAAGCTGTTCCCTCTTTCTCTCCATTCCCTCATTTTTTAATTATGTCTTCAAAAGACTCTTGGTCCCGAGTGAGACCAGATTCTGAATTACTAGGTGACATACCTTTGCAGAGAGGTGGTAGTTGACTCACTACACTGCCTCTTTCTCTTTCTCTCTCTCTCTCTCTCTCTCTCTTTCTCTCTCTCTCTCTCTCTCTCTCTCTCTCTCTCTCTCTCTCTCTCTCTCTCTCTTTTTCTCACCCTTTCTTTTTTTCTGATGATGTGCTGTGCATCGGAACTCTGTTTCTGTCTTTGCTCTAGAGCTGACCCAGGGGGCAGCGCAAGGTAGTGCAGACTCCAGCTGAGCTGTGGATGAAGATGCTGCATCTTGCTCCCCTGCTCTCAGGAGCTGTCAGGCTGTTGATTCTTTAATAAACACCCAGGAGGAGAGGTGTCAGGCTGGGGCGAGTACGCCGGACACCTCTGTGTGAGGCCGCCCAGACTCAAAGAGGCACAGGGGGCTCTGTGGTTTTCATTCCTTGATAACCTTGCCCTTTGGGGTCCAAGCAGTGAATGGGTATGTGACTCTACAAGTTAATTCTTTTTTGGTGGGAGGGGGGTCGTTTGTGGGGCTTCAACTCTGGGCCTGGGCACTGTCCCTCAGCTTTTCAGCTCAAGGCTAGTGCTCTACCACTTGAACCACAGCGCCACTTCTGGTTGTCTGGTGGTTCATTGGAGATCAGAGACTTATCGACTTTGCTGCCCAGGCTGGCTTTGAACAGTGATCCTCAGATCTCAGGCTCCTGAGTAGCTAGGATTACAGGTGTGAGCCACCAGCACCCAGCTTACAAACTAATTCTTACTGTGGCCAGATGCAGCGTGGTGGAGCTCGAAGGATCTGGTCACTGCCCGAGTAAAGAAAGGCAAGGGTAGCCTAGGAAGCTGAGCTGCGATCCTTTCCTGCTCAGCCCCCTTTCTTTCTTGTGTCTGTGCTTCCCTGCCTGTTCATGACCCCTGCCCCCTTCTGTTTCTGCAGGACCACATCCCTGTCCCTTACCAGCCAGACTCCAGCAGCAACCCCTCCTCCACGACGTCCTCCACACCCTCCTCGCCGGCTCCTCCCCTCCCACCCAGCGCCACGCCGCCTTCTCCCCTCCACCCTTCCCCCCAGTGCACGAGGCAGCAGAAGAACTTCAACCTGCCAGGTACGACCCTGCATTGGAGGGGAAGAGAGGACAGAGAGGGGAATGAGACCAGCCCTTGATCGAGAGCAGTAGCCTGATGGGTAGGGAGGACCAAGGAGGAATGTGGGTGGATCCTTGCCATAGGCAGTTCATCTATCACCTAATTTCATTTAGAATAACCATGAGATAAGTGATATTCACTCCATTTTACAGGTGAGGAAATTGAGGCATGAGGTGGCACAAGGCTTTGTGGAGACTCTCACTTTTGGCTGGCAGCAGCTGCAGTCTTCACCTGAGTCTGTTTACAGAGGGATCCATTGCTCTGCCAGCTGGTACTTGTCCTGTGAGCCAGAGCAGTTGACAGTTAGCAGCAGGGTCATGTGCCAAGGGATGTAGAGACACATTCCCGAGTCCACCTGTTTTCTGTGTCCCGTTCCCTAATGTCAAACACATGCTCTAAATGAGTACCTAGAGTCCTGGGTTCAAGACCCTGGTCTCCCATATTCCTGCTGTGAGACTTCTGAATTCCCTTTTCTCACCTTGGAAAGCTGGAATGTTATAGAAGGTTCCACCATCTCCTACTCAGGCTATTGACTGGGGAGGAGGCACTGGGCTGTAGACGATGGAGGAGGATCCACATGGGGGACATGGTGGCTTTTTGGTCCCCTTTGTCATTAGACATAGGGATATTTCTCCTTGAGGAGGGCCATACCTGAGATTCTCCCTAACTTCCAGAATGCAGCCCTGATCCTGATGGGAGACCCCAGGAGGGCTGCTGTGGAGTCTCTATAGCTATGATGAATACCTAAGCAATTCCTCTGAAAGGAGGAAAGACTTAATCTGGCTCTTGAGTTCAGGAGGTTCTCTGACTTTCACACCTGGGAGCCCCAGACTCAGTGCTGTTGAGGACAAGCCGACTGTCCCCCACCCACACTGTTCTTCCTAGACAGGGAATGGGTCTGAGTCTTGAAACTTTGGTGCTTTATTTTTAAAAATTATCTTTAAGTAGTTGTACAATAGGCTGTTTCCATTCAACATGCCAGTTTATGAGTAAAATGCATGTTGCTTGGTCAGGGTCACCTCCCTTTTATTTGTGTATGTAATTCTGGTACAACCTCATGTCTACTAGGAGTGAGGGCCTGTCACATGGAAGTCACACACCCCGTCCCCTCCTCCCCCCACCCCCTGAGTTGCAGCGGAATTATCTTAGCTAGGGTGCTGAGTAGCCAGGCAGGTCACCTACCGGGCATTGCCCAGGGCGAGGGCTCCTCTTCAAAAGGGTGAATGGAAGCTGAAGCAGGAGGATTGTGGGTTTGATACCACCCTGGGCTCTATAGTGAGCCCTTCAATTCAGCTCTACCACATAATATCTGCATATAGTTGTTCAGATGATTAACTCTCTGGGCCTCAGTTTCCCTATCTGCACAATGGGGATAATAATAGTTCCTAACCCTTAGGATCATTGAAGCAGCAGGCATCCAGAGCTCAGCAGAGTGACAGTCTCATCAAAGATCTCATCTAGGGAATTCAGTATTCTAGGGAGCCTTGTCACGGGAAGATACCCGTATGCATTTTAAGTGGAAAGATGAGTGATTTGCAGAATCACAGGTATAATAGCATACTCTGTATTGCATGTGTTGAGGTATGTATGACGACATTTTGCATGAGTATAGGCATAAAAATGTCTACAGGCATGTGGTTGGCGCCTACCTGTGAGCCATACAGCTTTGGTTTTGGTTTTCTACAGCACTGGGAACTGAGTTCAGGGCCTGCCTTTGTACGCATGCTCAATGAGTTCTCTGCCACTGAGCTACATCTTGAGCCTTTGCTTTTCTCAGCTGGCCTGACTTACATAGCCAGATTGGCCTCAAACTTGTGATCCTTCTGCCTCGACTTCCCAAGTGGTGGAATTTTTTCAGCAAACGTGTGTTTCATACCTACATACCATGTTAGCAGGGAGTTTGGGATCCTGAGCTGTTGGAACTTAGTCCTGAAGGGAGTTGTAAATCACTTCCAACCTCAGGGAGGGATTTGCATTTGCATGCCCCAGACAAATGACTTAGCACCCAAAGCTCTCCAGTCATCTCTTAATTACAAATCATTCCTGTCTGTTAGTTAAGCTGAGGGAACAGCCTGTGCATCCATCTCAGCTAATATATTTGCCCCCTGAGGTCCTTTTCCTGGGCCCACAGGAGCACCACAACCTAAGGGTACAATGGCTCAGTGTCTGCATGGGGACCACACACCTCTCCCGTGTTCTTAAGACATTCCTACTGATTTATAATATCTGACACAACACAGGTGCTCTGTGACTAGCTATTGTATCATATTGCCTAAGAAATAACAAGAAAAAAGTCTGCACATGCTTAGTACAGAGGGTGTGTGTGTGTGTGTGTGTGTGTGTGTGTGTGTGTGTGTGTGTGTGTGTGTGTGTGTGTGTGTGTGTACGTACCAGTCCTGGGGTTTGAAGAGGGTGTGTGTGTGTGTGTGTGTGTGTGTGTGTGTGTGTGTGTGTGTGTACAACCAGTCCTGGGGTTTGAACTTAGGGTCTGGGCATTATTCCTGTTTCTTTTGCCCAAGGCTAACACTCCACCACTGAGCCACAGCTCTACTTCCTTCTTTTTGGGTAGTTTAGTGGAGATAAGAATCTCACAGACTTTCTTACCCTAGCTGGCTTTGAACCATGATCCTCAAATTTCACTTCCTGAGTAGCTAAAATCACAGGTGTTATCTACCAGTGTCCAGCCATGTTTATATCTATCTATCTATAGATATACACACACATATATAGATACATATAAAGAAGATTTTTTATTCCAAGTTGGGTGCTGAAGTGATGGGCCAAGAATTGTAGGTGTAAAACTTGCACTGCACCTGCCCAGTCTGGCCTTGTACCATTATCCTCGTAGTTTCATCTAAATGTAAAGGATGAGGGGAGGACTCTCCAGCTGACCCAGAACCTCGAAGTTCAGTGCAAACTTTGGACTTCAATCCAAGTGGATACATGTGTGCTGTTTTTAGCCACTGCGCTTAGCCATTTCTTATATCAACAAAGCAAAAAGAAAAGAAAAAGAGGATAATCTTAATTGGAAAATATGGGGAAAACAGGAAGAATTTTTTTTTGTGGTACTGGGATTTGACCTCAGGGCCTTGTACTTGCTAAAAAGCTGGTGCTCTACCCCTTGAGCCACACCCACCCCTTTCCCTTTTTTGTTTTAGTTGATTTTTTAGGTAGGGTCTTGTGCTTTTGCCTTCAGACCTTGAGCCTCCCATCCGTGCCTCCTGGTATCTGAAGGACAGCCATTAACACTGTTCCTGGCTTGTTGGTTGAGATGAGCTTTGGCCAACGTTTTGCCCAGCTGGCCTTGGGCTGCCATTCTTCTGATGTCCATACTCTAAGTACCTGGGATTATAGGCATGAGCCATCATGTCTAGCCATAGAAACATTTTTGTTTTCTCAGTCTACAAATAAAAGATTTTTTAAAAAGCCATTGAGATTAAATTTACCCAAAGGGAACAATTAATATTGATTTAAAGAGTAGACCATGTGAGTATGTGTTTGAATGAGCATGTATTTATGCATTTTATCAGTAGCAGCATGGTTAGGGATATAAGACACCCCATGGGGATATTGGGTTGGATGCTTGGAGCTCTGGTGTCCCAGGTGCCCATGAGGGCATGATCATGTGGTGGCTGTGGGCCCAGCGTGGAACCTGAGGGCATTCTCACTCACCTGCTGCTTTCTTTCTCTTCTAAGCAGCATCACACTACTACAAATACAAGCAGCAGTTCATCTTCCCAGGTGAGTCTACTGGTAGCTGTGACAAGCCCTAGGGGTGGGGATGTATTGGTGGGGACAGGATCAGAGAAGGTGGCCGCCTCTGGGGGGCGGGGGGGACTGGGGAGACTCCAGGCTTGGTCTCTGACTGTGCCTTCTCCGGCTCTCAGATGTGGTACCTGTGCCAGAGACGCCAACGCGGGCACCCCAGGTCATCCTGCATCCAGTGGCCTCCAATCCAATGTAAGTGGAGCTGAGCGCTGTGTCCCTAAGCCTCTGGCTTTGCCCACCCCTTCCACTGTGCTCCTTCTCTCTGAAAGAAAGAAATGGGGCAGGAACAAAGAGATCCAGGGCATGACTTAGGCAGAGCTAAACAGTCCAGGCCAGGTCACAGAGGCCACATTCCCCCTCCCCCCAAGCTCTGCCTTGTGTCTCAACATACAAGAAAATGGCACGTGTGACTTCTAGGGAGCAGGCCAATTCCCCAGTCCCCTCCCTGTCATGAGAAAGACAGCTTTCCCTAGACATCAGGCAGAGCTTGGTAAATGTTCTTAATCTTTTAAACAGGGTACTCGAGATTTGCACCAGGGTTCAGTTGACTTTAGTCTGTGAGACAAACTAAGCTATCCTCTGCTTTTATAAATAAAGCTTTATTAGAACACAGCCCTGCCCATTTGTTTGTCTATGACTCATTTTCTCCATATAGAGGCAGAGCTGAGGACTGAAGCCATTCTGATGATCTGATTTGAGTATCTTGTAGAATGAGCTTGCTGGCTTCCAGTTTGTAACAGTTGACAAAAGTTAATTTTGGAAATTTTGAGTATTCCATTAAAAAGGAAAGGAAAAATAACCAATTAAAGTAAAACTACTGGCAAAGCTGTGTGTGTGTGTGTGTGTGTGTGTGTGTGTGTGTGTGTGTGTGTGTGTGTGTGTGTGTGTGTGTGTGTGTGTGTGTGTGTGTGTGTAATGTGTGTGGACTAGGGGTTGAACTCAGGGCCTGGGTGCTGTCCCTGAGTTTTTGTTTTGCTTTGGTTTGTTTTGGTTTTGGTCAAGGCTGATGCTCAACCATTTGAGCCACAGCTCCACCGACTCATGCCTATAATCCTAGCTACTCAGGAAGCTGAGATCTGAGGATAGAATTTTGAAGCAAGCCTGGACAGGAAAGTCCATGAGACTCTTATCTCCAATTAAACCATCCAAAAGTCAGAGGTAGAGGTGTGGCTCAAGTGGTAGAGCATCAACTTCGAGCAAAAAAATGCTCAGGGACAGCACCCAGACACTGAGTTCAAGCTCCAGTTCTGGCACAAAGAAAAGGAAGGAAGGAAGGAAGGACATGTCCTTGTAGAGTCAGTTTCTTCCTCTTATGCCTCTTGCTGGATCTCTCAATACTTTTCAACATTTCATTGTAAATAATACTGCAATGAGACAGTCCCAGGTCACAGATGCTCTTTGCGTATAGAAGAGCCTATGGCTTGGACAGCCAAGGTGACATCGCTTCCTTTACTTCTTTGGCTGAAACTGGGGCACACTGGCTTTGATTGGTTTTTCCAAATCATATTTCTGCTGACTTGGTTTTTCTCTGGGCTCCCCTAATTTTCCCATCCTTTTTGATTCATGTTAGACTAAAGTAAATGCAGCAGTAACTTGCTGGGAGCTATGGGACCAGCATCTCACTCTGGGTCTCTGCTGCACATAAACCAACTCCACATTTTGTGTGAGATGAACCCCAGGTTACGATCTCGACAGACAAGAAGTACTGGTGGGAAACAGTCACTAGGTAGGTGCCTGTGATCTGCTTGTGTGTGCTCAGTGATGGGAACCTACTCCTCCAATAGCCCCAACACCTGGATGCCAACACAGGAGGGCTGTGCTCTGTGTGAGGTGTGGAGAAGGGTACCCTAGGAGTGTTTTTCTGCCCGTAGGAACCAACTTCCAGGCAAATCAACCATCACACTACCATTTCATCCTGTCTCCCCTTGGCTATCATAGAAACAATTCTTTACACACTGCTTCATGATGACCCCTTTCTCCTTCTTTGGGACCTGATGATCATTTAGACTCTGCTCCAGAATGTGGACAGATTCCCAGGGTCTTGTGGATCAGGATGGACAGCCCTCCCACCCAATGATGAGGCTGTTGGAGAATCTGCTGAGTTCCTATTGGAGAAATACAAAAGGGGCGTGGCTTTTGTTATGATTCTGTTGTCTACCTGTCTTAACTCTGTGTGCCTTCGGTAGTCCAGGTGTTGCTTTGTAGTCACACACCACAAACACATATCCTGGAGACTACAAAAGATACTCCGGGACACACAAGACAAGCTCTGTACAGAACACACGCCACGGTCCCTATGTAGCTCACAAAACAAGCACAGTGGGCTCCAGCACTGGCACCCACCATGTGCACATCTCATGAGCTTTTGAACACAACACACACACACACACACACACACACCTGTGAAGTCTTCTCATTCTCACCCACCACGTCCTGATTGCATGTGCTTGACAAATTCCAAACCAAATACCAGGAGCTTGCAAATATATCCATCAACACTCTCTCCTGGGAATTCATACTCCACTTCTTGAACTCATCAATTATTGGCCCTTGTCACTTTTTTTTTTTGTTGTTGTTGGTCATGGGGCTTGAACTCTGGACCTGGGTTCTATCCCTGAGCTCTTCAGCTCAAGGCTAGCACTTCACCACTTGAGCCACAGTGCCACGTCTGGTTTTCTGGTGGTTAATTGGAGATAAGAGACTCATGAACTTTCCTTCCTGGCTGGCTTTGAACCGTGATTCTCAGATCTCAGCTTCTTGAGTAGCTAGGGTTATAGGCGTGAGCCACCGGTGCTGGTGCTCCTTGTCACTTTTAATCACACAACTTGCTTTAGGTCTTTCAGTAGTCATGCAGTAGTACTTGAAGTGAGGAGCTGAAGCCTAGGTCAACTCTAAATCCTCAGGAATGCTTCTGGAGCAGAATTCTGGTTGAATGAGTGGATAAATGAATGCACAAATGAATGAACAAATGATATGCTCCCAGGAGAGTCTGATGGTGAGTGAACCTTAGACATCAGATTCATTCTTCCACGGCAAGCATATAAGACTTAGGAACATCTAAGACTCATGGAATGAAGGCCAATTTATACTGAAGCTTCTTAGTTGGAACTGAAGCAATAAAGAAAGACAAGCCTTGAACGTTCCAGAATCTGTTGAAATTCTTTGTGTGCATGCCAGGTTAGGGATGATTTTAGACCCAAATGTTGTGAGAGAATGACTTGGTAGGCAGAACTTCGTGGCTAGCTTCAATTTATCCATGGACTTACCTTTCACCTAAGGGTCACATTGCTTTTTTTTCTTTCTTTAAAGCTTGGAAGGAAACCCGTTACTTCAAATTGAAGTGGAGCCAACCTCGGAGGTGAGAATTGGAGTGGAGGGAAGTGGCTTTTTCCAGGGGCTGCTGAGAACATGGCCAGGCCAGCTGATGCCTTTGATGCTGCAGAGGGCTTGGGGTGCATGGGGGAGGGGTGGCCGTTGGATGGATGTTGGAACTCCAGGACAGTTAAGGAGCTCGGCCCCTCCCCACCTGAGCCTAATGGGCCATTATGTTACATGGTGTGTGCCTTGGGGTGTGGGGGGGGGGGGGAGAAAGCCAGTTGTGTGGAAGTTGGCCAGAGATTTGCATTTGTAGTTGAAAAATGAGCTCAAGACTGGTTGACTAGCAAATGGAATGAGGAGTTGGGGGCTCCAGGGATGCTGGGCTTGGTAGGGCAGTGAGAATGTTCTGGAACTTCCCCCCCTCATCCTACCTCCACCCCGACCCAGGTTGTGGAAGGAAGAAATGAAGTCTCCCAGGTCAGAACTGTGGAGTCTGAGCACTCCGCTCTGCCACTGTGCTCTGGGCTTCCAAGAATTCAGGTTCTCTAGGTCTCCAGGGAAATTGTGTCTCTTTCTGGGACTACAGAAGGTCCTTAGGAAAATGATCTTGGGAAGCCAACATTTCCCGGATTGATTCCGAGGTTGGCACGGTGGGCAGCTTGCCAAGGGATTGAGAGTGAGGACAGCCTGTGCCCACCTTCTCAGGTCATCTGACCAGGGCAGGGCCTCTGGGATGCCCCATTGGCTCAGGAAACCGCTGTTCCAGCAAAAGGATCCCAAGGTCCCAGGCACTGCAAACACCATGCTGGACAGGTGCATTCTTAGACCTTGAGTGGTTATCCCTCAGGATGGTCATGTCTGAGCGTGTTGGAGTCACGTGGCATTCGTAGTAAAAATACAGGATCCTGGTTGGCTGATGCTCTTGGCACTGTAGATCAGGATATAGCTGGATCTCGTGGGTCTCTTGCCTGCCTTGCTACCTTGTGAACCTTTATGCTCTGCCTTCTCCAAATTTCAGAATCATTGATTCTAAATTCCCCAGGGGAGGCAAGACACTTTGTAATGGTGGCTGTCGTGTGCCACATACAGACACACCCATATTTTAGCCAGTCACCCCAATCATATACACCATGAGCATCAAAACAGCAGGGTGGATGGAATAGGACACCCTTGGATCACAGGAGTCCAGAGCCCTGAATTATTGTTCCCCCGCGCCCCCCGCCCCCGGGTCTGGCTGCCTGTGACCTCCAACAAGAGGTATCCCAGGGCTACCTGGGAGAGAAGGTGTGACACTGAGATGTATCACTTTTGATGTGTCACCAAAACAAGCCCATCACCAGTGGCTCATGCCTATAACCCCAGCTACTCAGAAGGCTGAGATCTGAGGCTCAGGATTCAAATTCAGACCAAGCAGGAAAATCCACAAGACTCTTATCTCCAGTTAACCACCAAAAAGCTAGAAGTAGAGCTATGGCTCAAGTGTAGAGCATTATTAGCCTCAGGCCCAAAAGCTCAGGGACGGTGCCAATGCCCTGAGTTCAAGCCCCAAGACACACACGTATCACCGAAGTCCAGAGAACTAGAATGGGTGGTTGCTCCCATGGCATTTCTCTGCTTCAAGCCCCAGTTTACCCAGTAGTACCAAAAAAGTTGGCTGACCCTGATTTCCATGGTTCTGTGATCCTAGACCAGAGCCACCCGTCACCAGCCAGGAGTGAAGGTGGCAGTGTGGAGGCATGTCAAGCCCTCCCCAGAGCACGTGGCTTGCAGAGCAGGCAGGACCACAGGGCGGGGAGAGCTGGAGGCAGCGCAGCGCTGATCATTCTCTCCTCCTACAGAATGAAGAGGGCCATGATGAAGCTGAGGAGTCAGAGGACGACTTCGAGGAGATGAACCTGTCCCTGCTCTCAGCCCGGAGCTTCCCACGCAAGGCCAGCCAGACCAGCATCTTCCTGCAGGAGTGGGACATCCCCTTCGAGCAGCTGGAGATCGGCGAGCTCATCGGCAAGGGCCGCTTTGGGCAGGTGTACCACGGCCGCTGGCACGGCGAGGTGGCCATCCGGCTGATCGACATCGAGAGGGACAATGAGGACCAGCTCAAGGCCTTTAAGCGGGAGGTGATGGCCTACAGGCAGACGAGGCACGAGAACGTGGTGCTTTTCATGGGGGCCTGTATGAGCCCGCCCCACCTGGCCATCATCACCAGGTGAGTCCCGCCCCGCCACTCGCCGTGGCTTCACCATGCTTCCTGCCGCCCGGCTTAGTGGGCGGCTTAGTGCAGTTGTGGGCCCTTCCTCATCCCAGCCAATAGAACCTCTCCAAAGTTGGGTATGTGATGGCATATGTCAGGGTATGTCGGGTCTCTTCTTGAATCTGCCCTCCAGAATGACAGACTCTCCTTGAGTTTACTTTTGAGCCTTAGCGCAATTGTGGCAGGTGCATTGTCATCCGTCACCACTGACTTTGTAGATGGTGGGTTGACTGGAGTCCGGGATGGCGAGTTTATGTAAGTGATTGAGGGTTTTGCTCATATGTCAGGGGAGAAGCGACTCTCAAGTAAGGAATGCAGTGTCTGGGCTGCCCTCATGAGGTAGTCTAAGCTCAGTAGCAAAATCCCCACCCCAAACTAGAGGCTTTTCTGTCTTGTGGGTGGTTCCAGCCTGAGCTGGGCTCAGTGAGTGGGCTCTCATAGGGGGCTGTTTGGCTGGCTGGTAGAGAGGAAGCTGGATGCCCTTGCACACCTGTCCGCTGGTGCCTTGGTTCTGATCCACGGGGCTTCGTATCCCCAGTAGCAGAGTCTGGGGCTGGTTCCCACGGAGGTCGAGGGTCCCCAAGTATGGCAAGATGTCCAGGTCTCTGCTGTGATATGCTACCTTGCATCCACCCATTGGCCAGAGTGATGTAGGTGGTTTTCCTGGGCGCAGAGAATGAGCCCCTGAGTGGGAAGGTAGGCAGTGCCTTGGGGCAGGTCGGTGGCCGTAGCATGACAGGTGATCTGTGGACTGTCCGTGGCCAGCTCTACACCCTTTCCAGTGAGACTCTTAGCTTCCTTTCTTCATCTTATCGAGGAAGTCAGGAGCCCTTTACTTGGAATGCAGAAGTCTGGTTGGAAAGTCAGCTTTCCCTTACTCCTGTTTTCCTTCCTGCTGCTCCCACCTTAAGCTGGTACTCCAGCTTCCTCTCTGGCATCTCTTTACTTTCTGCTCTGTTAACTCTGCTTTGTTCCCCCCCCCCCAAATTAGACCTTTGAAATAAATTATTTCCTGACCCCTCTAAGGACCTCCTGTTTCCTTGTTCTCTAATCTCCCCCCCACCCCAACATTTACCACAGACCCTTGCCTCTCTCCCCCCTCCCCTTCCTAAGAGCTGGCTAATTGGAAATGGATGGACCCAGTTAGCAGCCACCCCTGGGGAAAAAAGAGTGGTCCTTATGAAAATGTGTTGCACAGCCGGCCTGCCAGCTGCATTCACACACCCCCATTGTGCAAACTCCGAGCCCTCTCCCCACATGCAGCCTCTACCTACAGATTCACAAAGAGCCCGGCCTTTTCCTGGCACCACCATAAAGGCTCTGCAGCTCTGGGACATGTAATTGGTCTCTGAAGTGTTTTGGTATTTTGTGTGAGGATGCCAGATGAGCTGCCCCCCCCAAAAAAAGTGATATTTATGTCCTCTGATTGTATTGTTATCTGTTGATGGAGGGAAGGGCTCTGCGCGCCCATTCACAACTACCCACTTGTTGGCCATCTAGATTTGTCCTTGGAACATCTGATTGCAACCAAATATTTGAGTAATTTGATTAATTGCTTCCATGCGGATGAGTGACTGGCAGAGGTCGGTGGTTGGGTGCCAGCCAACCAACTGGGACACATTTTGGACCCCAGTTTTATTTTACAGGGTGCATAAGACCAGATAATTACCTGGCATGTTTCAGATCCATTGAATGGCATGTTCTAGCCAGTGACTTAGCAATTAGCATTGAAGTTAACAAGTATTTCTAAGATTAGCTTCTTTGTCTTGCACTGTGGATGGCACTTGGGGAATGGGGGTAACAACCCACAAGTTACCCAGTTACTCTCTCCACAAATGCAGTTGGAGTCAGAGCGGCTGCGTGATTGCAGGATTGGGTCATTATGGAATGATCACAAAGCTATCGACAGGCTGTGCAACTGCTTGTGTTAAAAACACCAAATAGAATTGGAAAAGCTGATAATGAGACAGTTGAATGGAAGCGTCTGTCGCCCTTCCTCCCAGCTGCAGGGGTAGATGGCGGGGGCAGGGGGGTGGGGAGCAGGATTCCTGGGCCTCAGTTTCCACATCTGTAAAAAGAGCAGGTGAGAGTGAACGTTTGTGCTGACACCAGCAAAACTTGGGTTCTCTGAACATAGATTGTGCTTGCAGATGAGACAGAGCAGCTGGGAGGTGGTGCTTCTCAAAATGTGTGTGTGTTGGTGGGGGGGGGTGTCTCTCTGGATCCCCAGTGGGTGCATGGTACTCCAAACACAGTCTCCAGGAGCTACTCCTGTCCCCTTCCTAGCAAACTGCCTTCCCTTCGTGGTTCTGAAGGTCTTGAGTGGGTCACTAAACTAAAATCTAGCTGGGACTGCATTTTCTTCCCCAAATTCTGGAAGCAGGTCTGTTTTCTTGCCTTTCTCAGCCTTGGAAGTGGTAGTCCCGCATTCCATGGCTTCCTGCCCCATCCTCCTTTGGAATTCAGTGACAGAACATCTGGTTTCCATGGTCCTATCATCTGCTTCAGCTCATCCAGCCCCTGGCTCCATGCTAGAAGGACCAATGGGTTGAGGCTGTGTTCAGGACCCACCTGCAACATCCAGCTCTATGCTTGAAGTTGCATTCATCCCTCCAGGGGTTAGGGCCTGGCTGTCACTGGGGGCAGTCATCTGCCCAGTGTATCTCCTTTGACCTAATGCATCAAGTCCATTTGTAGGTGGAGCCTTTCAAACCAAACTGCACCCTCGTGGCCACTAAAGGTAGAGCTAAAGGAGCATGGAGCTGCCCTGAGTCTTCCTGGAAGATTGATCAGGAAGCTCATGATGCTCTAGTTCCCTGAAAAGGAAATAGAAACACTGGGCCTGGCCAAGGCTTGGAATTATTTCTTCTCATGCCTCCTTTTGTTAAGGCTGAAAGTGGCAGGGCCTCAAACTTCTCCCCGGAATCCCAGCCCTGGCGGATGAGTGGGTTGAACACAGAGCCTTGGAAATAAAAGAAGTAGAGGCTTCACTTCTCAAGACCTTTTTCCTCTCCTGTTGATCACTGTGTGGGAGCACAGACCTGAGAGGCAGAGGGAGGCCTGGCCCAGGTCATAAACCAAGTCACACAGACCTGAGAATGGAGCAGATGGACCCCTGGGCTCTGGGCTGGCCCATCCTTTGTCAGGTGGTGGCCTGAACCAGAGCGGTCAGTGACAGCTCCCAGGCCCCAGAGCTCTGCCCCTCTGGGAGGCTCAGCATCACCTGGAAGACGTGGTCCCAGAGCCCAGGGCTCGTAGCTGCTGCTTGTAGCCTGGACTCTTCTGGAATTTTCTTAGAAAGATTCAGCCTTTGCACACACACACCAGCTCCAGGACCACTGGCTTACCAGACCTGAGTTTTGAATTTGTACTTTTGATTTGCAGCTGTGTGTGTACTTTTGTGAATGCTACACACACACACATGCATGCACCCAGAATTGTCTCCCAGAATTGCAGTTACTTAAGAATGTGCTTTCCCACTCAAGAGGCAGAGGCTGGATGATGGATTGCAAGTTTAGCCTTGGCTAAACAGCAAGACCTTGTTCCCTACCCCTCCAAAAACCAGTTATTCTAAAGGCTCAAGCTCTTCAAGTCATTGAGGCAAATGAGTAAAACTGAAATACTTAATTATGAAGGAAATTTTAAAAACAAACCCTCTGAAGCCTCACGTGGGTGCAGGCAGGAATTCTGGTGGCCTGCAGGCCTTCTCTGCGGATTCATGCCTCTGGCCCGGCTTGAGTCAGGGGACTCTGACTCAAGCATGAGACCCACTGCTGTAGAGAAACACCTTCCTACTTCCCATCCTTAGCACGCTTCTCTGCTTCTGGAGAGGGTCTTTCCCACACACCTTGCACACCCCCTGGCAATGGGAGGTGAGTGTCTGGGTCCAGAATGGGAGAGAGCCTGGAGTGTTGGAGTGTTTAACCCTTCCTCTCCCAGCAGGGCTTCCTGGGTCTCTTACACACTGCAGTGCTAAGGTGGGCCTTCCACGGGCATTTATCAGAGCTGGACCTAGTGCCAGGCTGTAGGCTGGACCTTCAGAATTCAGGACCTCCAGGTTATACCAGGACTTGACTTTCTGGGGAAAGTTGATCAAGCAAGATAAATGAACATGATGCCTACTTTAAAGGACACAAATAGGGCGACGGATGGTCAGTGACAGGTTCTAGAGGAGGCATCTTAGGCGTCCTAGTGTTATTATAGGAGTTGAGATCCACCGAAGAGGAGGAGCCAGTCATGCTGAGAAGCAAAGAACAGATCCCATAGGGGTACAGCAATTACAAAGGCCCTGAGGCAGGCAGGGGCAGCAAGTTTGAAGGCCAGAAAGAAGGAAAGGGATGAGGAAAGGAAAAGGGCTGCAGAAAGCCAGGCAGTGAATTACATTTTCTTCACAGGCCCTGGCAAAGGGTCTGGAGAGCATCTTACTGTGCTGGGAAAACAAGAGCTAGTTTGGGGGTTGGTTTTGTTTTGGGGTTATTTATTATTGCTGTTCTGGGGATTAAAGTCGGGCTTGCTAGGCAAGTGCCTGCAGCCCACTTGGCTTTCTTTCTCAAGCAGGATCTCTCTATCCTCTTATGTCTGCCTCCTGCAGACCTGGGGTGACAGGTGCTCTCCCACACCCAGCTTCTTATTGGTGAGATGAGGTCTCTTGAAAAGAAGTTTTCTGCCTAGACTGGCCTGGAAGTCCAGTCCTCCTAGTCACCACCTCCCAAGTAGCTAGGATTACAGGAGTGAGCCACTGCACTGGGCCAGAGCAAGGCTTGTTTTTTCTGTTTTTTGTTTTTTGTTTTTTTTTTTAATTTTAAATAGTAAGCACTCTGACTGCTCCTGGGCTTCCTGGTACCTTTTTTACTTGGCTTGCTGGCTTCACGTGTCAAGACTCAGTTATGGCAATAAAGGGTGCAGGCATGGGAAAAGTGGGTGAGGAAGGAGGGGCCACTTCCCACCTAGGAAGA